ATGGGATCCAATGCACTCTTCTGGTGTGTGAAGACAACTACAGTGTACTCATATAAATAAAAATAAATAAATCTTAAAAAAATAAACTGCCTCTATTCTACCTCTATGCATATCCACCTGGGACCTATTCTTTGTTCTGAGGTACGAGAACCTGGAGGATCATAACAGGTGCCCTCTGGACGCCAATCCATGCCCAGAACAAACAAACTTTTCTTAGGCTGTGGATCTAGCCAATGAGATCAAATGGCTCTCTCTACAAATCCTAACAGGTGAGTCAGGAAAAGTGAGCCCAGAAAATGAAACTCTTGTGACCCAATGCAGGACCCTTTGGGGAAAGGTGACTATATTATGGCGTTAAAAAAAAAATTTCCAAGCCGGGCAGTGGTGGCGAATGCCTTTAATCCCAGCACTTGGGAGGCAGAGGCAGGCGGATTTCTGAGTTCGAGGCCAGCCTGGTCTACAGAGTGAGTTCCAGGACAGCCAGGGCTACACAGAGAAACCCTGTCTCAAAAAAAAAAAAAATTCCAACATGGTAACATGACATTAAAGCAGAATTTCTGAAGCTTAACTCAGAAGGGTTTCATCCCAGGATACCAAAGAGCATTGTGAGGTCAGGGGTGGAGGAGGATGGAGGAAGCAGGGAGAGATTGGGGCTAGGAGCAAGGGTGAGCTAAAACCAGAGTAAAGAGCTGCTGGCATCAGAAAGGTATACTCAAAATGACTAATATGACTTTGTCAAGGAGTGGGCAATGGGCCTCAAAGGATAATCCTCCTACGCCTTTGTATGTGAACACAGTGCTCTACACTTAAGCTCCAACAGTAGCATGACTCCATGTCTTTGGGACAGGTCTAGCTAAGTTGCCCAGGGTGGCCAGTCATATGCAATGTAGTCTTGGCAGGCTTGAATTTATAATCTTCCTTCCTTAGCCTTCCAAGTACCTGGTGCCACAGGCCTACAGCGCCAGGCTCTACTGATCTCAATTTGTTAAAAGAACTCCTCTGTGGACCACACCTAACATCTAAGACTCTCAGATTTGTGTAGACAGTTATATAGTTGGAGCCCCTGCTCATCAGAGATCAGACACCTTCTAGCATTCATTCACAAACTACTGACACTGCAAAAAGATATGTGGAGTGTGTGTGTGTGTGCGTGTGCATGTGAGTGTGTGTATGTGAGTTTATATATGTAAATGTGTGTGTTAGTGTATCTGAGTGTGTGTATGTGAGTGTGAGTCTGTGAGTGTGTGTATGTGTGTATGTGAGTGTATCTAAATGTATGTGTGTGAGTGTGAGTCTGTGAGTCTGAGTGTGTGTATTTGTGTGAGTGTGTGAGTCTGTGAGTGTATGTGAGTGTGTGTGTGTGTGTGAGTCTGTGAGTGTGTGTATGTGAGTGTATCTGAGTGTGTGTGAGCATATATATGTGTGTGAGTGTGCATAAGCATGTGTCAGTGTGCATTTGTGTCAGTGTGCATGTGAGTGTTTGTGTGTGAGAGTGTGTGTCTGTGAATGTGAGTGTGTCTATGTGTGTTGAATGTACTTACAGCCAGAGACATCTGCCCTCTTTTATTTATGTTTTTTACTTCATGTATATGAATTTTTTTCCTGCACATCTAATGTCTATGTACCACACATGTGCAGTACCCACAGAGGCCAGATGAGGGTATCAGGTTCCCTGGAACTAGAGTCACAGATGTTGGGAACTGCCATGTGGGAGCTAGGAATTAAACCCAGGTTCTATGGAAGGAGTAGACAGTGCTCTTAACCACTGAGCCATCTCGCTAGCCCAAATTTAAATATTTAAAAAAGCATTTGTTTAATATTCTCTGGCCACAAAGAGGCCCAGAAAAACACACACACACACACCCCAGAGAGAGAGAGAGACAGAGAGAGAGAGAGAGAGAGAGAGAGAACCCTCTCAATGTTCCCAAATATTCGCTTTCCCTCTTTACATGTAAGGACTAGAACTCTCTAACCTGGGGATCCCTCTTCCAGAGTAGCAACACCTGGTCCTGAAGCTCAGCCTAGGCAAGCAGAAAGAGCTAACACCATACTTTTCCATGACACAGATCATATGAGACGTATGAACTCAGTGACAATGGACTTCCCAAACCATAATAGACATGCAGTGGCTCTACATCCGGGACCACAGGCAAGATAAGGAACAAAGACCATGCCAGGCTAGCTATTATCCCTCCAGCTCCCACTCACGACAGCCCCTGGAGAGAGTCATACCCTACACACCACAGATAACTACTGACATGTGACAAAACATGTGGAGAGTATGTGTCTCTGTGTGTATGTATGTCTGTATGTGAGTGTATGAGAATGTGTATGAATCTGAGTGTGTGTCTGTATGTGAGAGTGTGTGTGTGTGTGTTTGAATATGTGTCTCCATGTATATGTATCAGTGTGTGTATGTGAGTGCTCAGGGAAGCGGAAGGATTAAGGACAGATTGTGGACCAAATCAGTGTTCAAAAGCTGTGTGTGTACAACAGGCCTTCCATGAAACAACGAAAAGCAAGATAAAAATGAAAACAAATTATAAAGCAAATTATTAACCTAAGAAGAACCCTAAAATAGACCCTGTGACACTGTAGATTTAACTATTGATCAAATATTCCAAGACATTTAACTCGGCTTGCTTAAAATAATATCTAGAGGGGCTGGAGACATTGTTCAGCAGTTAAGAGCACTGATTGCTCTTCCAGAGGTCCTGAGTTCAATTCCCAGCAACCACATGGTGGCTCATAACCATCTATAACGGGATCTGATGCCCTCTTCTGGTATGTCTAAAGAAAGTGACAGTGTACTCATATAAATAAAATAAATAAGTAAATCATTTTTAAAAAATAATATGTAGGGACTCTTCTTGGGACATGCATACAGTTACTAAGGTAAACATTTTTTCTTTTTTTTTTTTTCCTTTGGTTGTCTGAGGTGGGTCTTATTCTGTAGCTCAGGCTATCCTAGAACTCATAAGCAATCCTTGCACCTCATTAAAAAAAAAATCACACTCTTAGATGGAGACCACAAACTATAGTTATCGTCATGCAATGCATGAAGAAGCACAAGAGACGTGCAGACATGACCGCCATTACACCTCTTCCTGGGAAGTCTTTGTATCTCTTTCCCTTGCTTGAGACAAACTCTTGGGACTTTCTCCTAGAAACTGCTCCTGTGTGCTGCTGGAATAATGGTTCTGTTCCCCATCCTGTCTGCTGGGTGAGGTCTTCCCAGATAAAAGCAGGACAGAGAGAAGAGAGACCTCAAGCTGTGCTCCAGGTAGGAGTACCTGTCTGCTGGTCAAACCCCATGCCCTTACTTGCTCTGCTTTTCTCTGGCTTTGCTAGCACGAATCTGAGGATGGGAATCATCTTCCCTAAGAACAGATCCATTCAGCATTCTATCGAATTACAGAAAACTGCATTCTGGCACTTTTCTAAATAAAGTCCCAGACATTTTTTTTTTTTTAATGTTACTTGCCACCAGACCTTTGGACCTGAACACCCAAGACCTTTGTCATTTCCTGCCCACTGTCCTTCCCTAGTCAGATTGTCCCTCAAACATTTCCCAAAATTGCTACTTTTACCATGCTTTCTCCCCAACCTAAAAGCATTGCATCCACCTGCAAGCTTCAATGCAGAGAATGTCATCAGGTCACTATCACTGTGATAAAAACACCCCCGGGAAAACCGACAGAAGGGAGGAAAGATAACGTGGCTCACAGATTCTGAGATTTCAGTGTGTGGTCACCTGGCTGTGTCATCTGGGCCCATGGAAAGGCAGGACATGCCAGGCTGCACAAGGCAGAGCAAAGTCATTTACCTCATGGTGGTTGGGAAGCAGAGAGAGGGGAGAGTGACAGACAGACAGACAGACAGACAGGCCAACTAAAACCCTTTCAGAGCAGGCCTTCATTTATCACGTCCTCCAACTAGCACCCAGCTCCTGATGCTTTTACCACTTAATCAGTCTATGATGTCACAGTTCTTGTGATGTAAGGTCTCTCCTGTGGACACCACTGAAAGGAGAGCTAGCCTTTAACATGTGTGGGGGCATTTAAAATATAACTCACAACCAGAGGATAAAATACACCCACCCCAGCCTCAGTGTCAAAATTACAATGGCCTGAATTGTGTGTCCCCCCCTAAATCTCCATGTTAAAATCCAGATTCCCAAGAATTGGGGAGTGGTGCTTTCTGGGAGATAAGTAGGTCGTGTGGCAGCGAACTCATGAGTAAGATCAGTGTCCTTATAAAGAGAACCCAGAGAATTCCTTCCCTTCTTCCACCATATTAAGACAGTCAGCTAGACAACCGTCTACACCCAGGGAAGATGGCCCCATCGGGCATGGAATCTGCCCATGACTTGGTGAAGGACTTTCAGATTCCAGATGCACAAACAGTAATTTTCTAGTGTTCATAAAGCACTTTGTTTATGGAGTTTGTTACATTGCACCAGCCCCGATCCCAGCTAAGTGCCGAGTATGCTTATCATGCATACAATTTAGCACTTCTATGCTAGTGTGCACAGGAGCCCCAAGCCACCACTCTTGCTACTTCTGCCCTAAACCAAAGGACCTCTGCCCTCCCCCCACCTGGAGATCCTTCCGCCCTGCATAACTCAACAATGTCTTCAGGCCACCTTCTTCCAGGAACTCATCGCCACCAATTCCTCGAGTTCCCAGCCCAACCTCGACCTTGTGGCCTCTCACAGCATCTGAAGATTACACCAAGTACCACCTAATCTAGCTCATTCCAGAAGGTTCTTTATTGGCCTGTTTACCAGGCTTGCTTTCTAACTAGATTATACACTTCTTAGAGATAAGATTCCTATTTCATAATTATTTTCGTGTGCTCAAATCAGATGCATCTCTTAGAAATATCAGTATGTGCAGATTGGAGAATATGAGTAGTAGGAAGAAGAATTGAGAAGGGAGGAGATGATTCACACGGGAGTGTTTGCAGGCGGCTATTGGGTGACACGCAATCAATGGTACCTGGTTCTCGATGGCCTTCCTGTTCTTGGGGTCGCTCACCACAGACAGTTGCAGCTCCGCCATCTTCTTCATCTTGCTGTCCATGTCTATCTTCTGAAGCAGGCTTCTGGTCTGGCTCTTCAGCAACCGTACCGTGTCCTCCTTCCCATGCTTCTTTGCGAAGAGGGATGCGCACGCCGAGTGTATGGCGGTGACCCAGTTTTCCAGGTCTGTCTGGCTAGTAGCCTAAGCACAGGATAAGGGAACTATTTAAGATTACTTGAACAGAAAAATGTTCTCTCCAAAATGGAAGAGCAAGCTTTGATGTGTCAAACCCAAGGAGTCTCTTCACAGAAACAAAAGCAAGAACACAACAAAAATGTTTAGTTCCCCAAATGTAAACACCCAGCTCAGGTTCAAAGAGTCTGTGCTGGCTAGTTCTAACTGCTAGCTTGGTACATCCTAGGATCTCCAGCATGCCTCTCCATGAAGCATTGTGTAGATTAGTCTGGCCTGTGGGCATGTCTATGAGGAACAGTCTTGACTGCTTTAATTGATATGAAAAGGCCAGGCTGAAGTAGGGAGCTCCATTCCCTGGCTTTGTGTCATGGACTGTGTAAGAGTAGAGAAAGTGAGCCGGGCAGTGGTGGCGCACGCCTTTAATCCCAGCACTTGGGAGGCAGAGGCAGGCGGATTTCTGAGTTCGAGGCCAGCCTGGTCTACATAGTGAGTTCCAGGACAGCCAGGGCTACACAGAGAAACCCTGTCTCGAAAAACCAAAAAAAAAAAAAAAGAAAGAAAAAGAAAAAAAAAAGAGTAGAGAAAGTGAACCGAGCACTAACAATTGTGTGTGCCTTTGTCTCTTTCTCAGCCCTTCACTGTGACTATGATATGATTAGCCATCTCAACACCCAATACTGAGACTTCCCCACAGTGATGGACTATGACCTAGAATCATGAACTAAAGAAAATAAACCTTTTTTCAGATGATTCTTGCCTGGATGCTTCATTGAGGAAATAAAAGTAAGGCAGAAATCTTAGTGTGGCCATCAGAAAGACAAAGAACAAAACCAGTCCAGTTAGTGACAGAAAACAAGGTTCTATCCACCCACCATGACATTACACCATCCATATCACATTCATGCTAGAAGCAACCCTGCATGTTCTTTTGGTTTTTGTCGGTGGTGGTTATAGTGATGGTTTTTCAACATAGAGTCTCTCTGTACAGATCAGGCTATGCTGGAACTCATTATGTAGCCTAGAATAATCTCGAACTCACAGTCATCCTCCTGCCTCAGTTTCCCAAGGGTTAGGATTACAAGTGTGAGTTACCCCATGACTGACTTTTCTGCCCTTATAAACCGATCTATTCAAAGTCCAAAGTGTCAAGAAGACACAGGTGCTGTGCAACGGTAGCAAAAGTCAGTCTGCCAGATTCAACATTATGCTAGGCATTTCTATGGAATTGCCAGACATCCTAATGGCAGAAAACCTGGGAATTGCTATCCAAAGGCAGCTGCCACTTTCACACTTGTCCAGGAGGTGCTAGTGAACCTGAAAAGATTCTTTGACATTCACTAGGGATTCCTGGGAGCAGCTGAAGCTTCCCTGGCCACAGGCTTTCTTTAATAGAACTCTGTTCTGGAACTCTCAGACATTACCCTCTCTAGGTCACGTGGTACCCAGAGCACAGAGCACAATATTTTCTCAGTCCTGGCATGGATATGAAAGGCAGTAGCCTTAGACTTCACAAGCACCAGACAAATGCCTGTTACAGAGATGGCCATGACCATGGCACTGGTGAGTATGAGAACCCGCAGTCTCCTGCCCACACCCTCATCCCAGAGCTTACTGGAGCATCCATTGAATTTGTGTCAGTGTTTTTCTGCTCAATTCTGTTCGGTCTCATCTTTCTCATTCACACACCAACACCTCACCCCTCCATTTGTAGAGTGGTACCTGGAATAGGTAGACATCCCCACAGGAATTACTCAGGCAGAACACGTGCTCCTTCTTGGGATGCTCTGGGACAGACTGCACGATGCTGTCCTCTGCAAAGAGGGCACACCGTGGGGCACTGTTCTGGTCTGCGGAGTTCTTTCCATAGGTCTCATAAAACAGCAGAGTACAGCCTAGAAAAGCCAAAAGCACAAGGATGTCTCTGCCCACATGACAAGAGAGTGTAGAAAAGATGTGACTAAATGACACAATCCCAAAATGTCCCCAGATGCCTGCCAGAGGCTAGTGCTTAAACAAACAAACAAACAAACAAACAACACCCTGATATGTACAACATACCTAGTTAAACTCTCAGGAGCAGAACAAAAACTAGATGATATGATCATTCTACTTTCATCGATCGATAACAATTCAGTGAGCCTCCACCTGGCTCCCCAGGTACTCTCTCCACACAGCTCTCCTACAAGACTGTCAAAGTGACATACTCCCATCTACCAATAAGAAACTGCGGATGGAGCCCCCAGCCGAGACAACAGTGGAGCATGGATTTGAACTTAAGCCCTTGAACCTCAGCATCCTCAATCTCAAGTACAGAACTGCGTTATTTCAAATGCATTTATTAAATGTGGTAGGCTAAAAGAAAAAAATCCCAGGTGTGTTAGCTACGCTTATAAGTTCACAGTCGAGGAAACTGGCAATATCTACTGAACTTGGCCATTTATAAGAAAATATCAAGCTGACTCTTCAAATGTATACTGAACAACTTCACATGTCGCACAAGCTAGAAAATGAGCTATGACTGGATTCTAAACATTACTCTAAAAATGTCAGTACCTGTGATTTTAATGGTTTATTCTCCTTAATAAGCTATAAAGATTTATAGGCCAAGGATTCAGCTTCCATGGTGTAATGAAGCATCATTATTAAGCTAACCACTGCTTCTAAGAAGCACAGGAGTGTGTTTTCTAGCATAAGGCCACTTCAGACCTTCACCCAAGAGAAGTCTGTGTGTGCATGTATGCATTCATATACGAGCACTTGCATGGGAAGGTCAGAGGTCAACTTCGTGCCTTGTCTTAAGGCGCTGTCTACCTTGCTCATTGAGTCAGGCTTTCTGAGTTTTTTACTTCATTTATTTGGCTAGTCTGGAGTGTTGGAGAATCTTTTTATCTATTGTATTGGGTTCTGCTATTTCTACCACCTTTCAACCCTTATTCCACCTTAATCCCTTCCAAACCACCAACACTAGGTAGGAGACACATAGGGTTAGAGGGGAAGACCTCTTACAGCCCACAGATTCCTGCTGATTAGGGACATAGTCCCTTGGGGCACGTCCAAATCTTTGTCGTCAGGATATCCAGCAGTCCAGTAAACCAGTGATAAGAAATGCAGCAGTGGGGGCAGTAACGGGGAGCAGCCACCGGACCTCTTGGGCCTCTCCCATTTATACCTGCTCAAGAGTTCTCAGAATTAAACTATCTGCCGCTGACCAAGATGCCCCTCCCAGAGCACACACAAGGCAAATAGTCAGCTGCTGTGGACAATCTGAAGCAGCCCCGTACCCCACACCTGGGATTAAAACAAAAACATGCTCATATAACATAACTGGATTTTTAAAGAAAGCAAAATTCTCACTACACTACACACTACACTATACTACACACCACACTACACTATACTACACACCACACTGCACTATACTACACACCACACTGCACTATACTACACACTACACTGCACTATACTACACACTATACTACACAATACACTATACTACACACCACACTGCACTATACTACACACTACACTGCACTATACTACACACTATACTACACACTACACTATACTACACACTACACTACTTTTTATAAATCCTTTTTTAGAAATCCACTACATCCTTTTTATAAATTATGAGTTTTACAGATCAAACTCAGGCCCTCGTGCTTGCATAGCAAGGTTTTACTGACTAAGCCATCCCCCTAGCTCCGGTGAAATAGTTTAAGCATTATTTTACACACCAAGCACTGACACATATCAATGACATGGTCCCTGTGGATGCAAACCCTTCCCATCAACAGTGGGGAGCCCCCAGCCCATCTTATCCAGCACAGAGAGGGCAAGACCCACCACTGTGTTCTGTCCTCATTCAAGTTCAGGTGTGTTAGAGATGATCTCATAGGTTGAGTGTGTGGTTGCCTAACATGGGCAAGGCCTACCTTGTTTATCTCCACTCACACACGAGCTCACATGGGTGTGCACACACTTACACTGTGTTCCTCTCGCCACGTTCACTGCTTTCTTAAGGCTTGACATGAATCAGGGGACATGTAGCAGAGAGCCAGGGGAAAGAGGTCTGCCCAGTGCAGCCTGCCCAGCGGGCGCTGTATCCCTATCACACCATTTCACTGCCTTGAGAGTGATGAGTCCTCAACACAAATAAAGCTTTGTCCAAACTAGGAAGGTGGACATAATCAGATACTAAAGGCAAGAGGAGACAGCAGAGGTTTATAGCCAGAGCCGCTGGTCTAAACCTAGCTCTCTTCCCAGACATGGATGACCGTGAAAACAAAGCCAGCCCTTTTCCTTTGAGAAAGGCCCATCTGCCTTTGTGTGTGCAGAACACCATGATCTGAGGCTCAGTATAAAGGGCACCACACGCCAGCTGTACCCAAGACCAAATTCTTCCCATGGGTTCATATTTCCTTTCCAGTTTACCTGATGTTGTATACCAGCAACCATGATTTGAATCAATTTGTCTAAAGAAAATGAACCCAGAACCTGAACAAAGACCCAAAGAGGTCACCAAACATCTCAACCCCAGAAATGTGCCCTGGGGACATTCCAATTTAAAACTGGTCCAAGATGCAGCATCATAGGCTGGTAGAGGAGTCAACCTTACCCTGGTTGTACTGGTTTGTAACTGAAAGGGGTTCTGCACCTTGAAGATGGCCCTGGAGTTGACAGAAAGGAGCCAACTCATGTCCAGGAAACCTTCTTCATTCAGTTCACCCCTGTGGTGCAGCCATCAGCCCTAGCCCATGCCTAGCAGCTTCTAGTGGGATTAAGTAGACATTCTTCTGGCCATAGGAGCACAAAGAAAAACATGCTTGACCGGTAGTGGAAGAACAAGAATAAGATAGGAAAGAACAGAAAGCCCACAGTGGAAGATAAGCAATCTAGGCCTCTCTTCAAATCCACCTGCTCTTAGATATTCTCAGTTCACACTGTCCCTCGACTCCCTGTGGCGAGCCTGTCTTGGGGCAGAGTTCATAGCATCCAAAACCCATCCTGATGAGTTCTTATCCTGACACCACACAGAATGTCGTGGATTTTGAGAAACATTGTAGTAAACTTGACAACTCTTCAACCTAGGGTGTCCCTTGGTTGAACTGCATGAGAATCTATCCATTGGAAAAGGCAGATGGTTCCCGTTAAATGCTCTTCTCTTCCAAGCTCGAGTCTTTGTCTGCTTAGTGCTGTATACATCAGTGACAGCAGGTCATAAGATGGTTCAGTCCTAATCCCTCTCTCCGGAAAACCAATTCCAATGTTTCCACATGATTGCTTCAAGAGTAATCTCCAAATGCTACTTAAATGTGTATGCGTGTACACATCTTTTTGTTTTCAAATGAGATTAACCCAAATGCATTAGTTCCGACATTATAATTTACAGCCTCGAAGCCAAGAAAGTTGACCTTAACACAGCAAATTCCCAGAGGGCAGAGGTGGAGACATGAAGACTATGGCAGGTAGCCAAGGCTGTGGATTGGGTTGGATGCCTGCTCCACAGGAAGGATTTCGTCCCTGGTACTACAGACCTGTTATTTTTCCCTGGGAAGTCTGTGACAGGGCACCTGGGGGAAAAAGGGGACTACCACCTTTGAAGACATGTTTACTTCTGCTTCCACCCTGTCACCCTGGAAACATATTCCCCATGGCCTGCAAATCAAACCCTTAAACCTTTTCCACTTACAAAATGTTTCCACAAAATTTCATAGCCCGTCTAGAGGCAGCTAGGGCTTTATTTTCTTATCCTTTCAAACTTTTTACTGGATCTGATCCTCTACTGCAACTTTTTGAATCTCCTCACTCATGCATAAGAGCCTGCTTCCCTGGAACATTAACATCTGGGTCATCTATGATTTCCTCAGCCAACCATGAGCTATAAGGATCCTAACCCATAATGAGAAGCTATTGGGTCCTGGGGCTTATGCACACATCATGCATGGTCCACTGGGGGAACTTACTAGAGGACCTTAGAGGCAATTAAGAAGTGACGACTACCCATCAAGGTTGGGGAAGGGATTCAGAAGTTACCAGAGAGCAAAGGAAAGCAAAGCAAGGGGAACTGTGAGAGAGGCACACCAGGCAGTTCACACCTACTGCGAACATGTGTGATTCGTGTTTCTGCTCCCTTCTCTGTTGGAAGAACAGGTGGGAACACCTCTTCAGTGTTTCTGACACTCACAGGTGGCCTTTGCAGAGGCTGAGACTGGACCTTCTGTCGGCACCTGCATAGATCAGATGCTAACAGAGGTATCTCGCTGCCTCACAAGATGGAGTTCTTCCAGCCTGCACAGCCACAGTGAGCAAAGCAATCACCACGGTTAATTAGCAATGTTTGTGTGAGGCATTCTTACGTTAACAAGACAAACTCCTATTTCTGGTCTGAGAAAGGAACACGGTGAAGGAGGGACTATTAGAAAGAGTGAGGTCACACTGAGAGTGTTGCACGCTCAGCACATGCTTAGAGTGTCTAAGACCCCAGGTCCAACCCCCCAGTGTCAAGCAGGTGAATAAAGAAGCAGCTGTTCAGTAGTGGTAACAGACTTTCGGAGTCAATAAAAGGGGTGGTACAAGTCTAGTCTTCTAGATAACGTTCTGTCTAGGAAGGGCACTGCTTCAAGGTCCAAGCATGTGCAGAATGGGAAATACAATTAAATGAAGTTTATGGGGCAGTTATTTAAGGTTTGTTTCATTCTAGACATACCCAACACATCAGAGAATACCAGAGAAATAGACACGGAAAATTCTTTAACTTAAAAAGTATTACTTCTTAGACATAATAACATATATAAATGGTTGACTATTAAACAGACTTTTTAAGATTTTCAATAAAACTGTGAGACAACCAATCTCAATCTTTCAAGTCAGGGCTGGGAAAGTGGATCAATTCATAAAGTTCTTGCCTTGCAAGCATAAATCTTTGATCCTCATTTGGCTGGGGGGATCCTTATCTTGCATTTGATCCCCAGAATCCACCTTAAAACAAACAAAAACTACTTAGGCATAGTAATGGTCTTTATAGCACTGGGAAGGTGGAGACAGGGGGATGTTGAGGCTCACTGGTCAGCTGGCTTAGCCACATTGGAAACTTCCCAGCCAGTAAGAGACTAAAATAAGGCAGATGGTACCTAGGGAATGACACCTGAGGCTGTCCTCCGGAGTCTGCGTGCATGTGCACACACATGTACATGTACACACATGCTTAGACACACAGTCCTTACTCATCAATGCTGACCTCACCAGCACTCCCTGGTGAGAGGACAGCTAGAGGAAGGACAAGCCGCCCCGGCCGGGGCGCCCCCCCCCCCGTGAGCTGTGACCCACGTACCTTTCAGGGTCACCCAGTACTGTTTCCACTTCCTCCGAGCCACCAGCTCCAGTTTCCTCTCTTTCTGCAAGGTGACAAGGGGTTTGAAGAAGAGCCACCCGGCTTTCCGGACCACCCCCTGTTCCTTCTCAAAGAGCAGATCCAGCTGCTCCAGCGAGCTGAGGGACTCGCTGCTGGACTCCACGGTCTCTGTGGACGTTTCCGCCTGCTCCGTGTTGGTCCTGCTCATTTCCAGCTCTCGCATGAAATTCTCGTAGATGTTCTGTCTGCCGATCGCGTGAGTGGATTCGCTTCTGTGAGGCACGGTCTGAGCCAAGCCCCCTGACCACAGTAAGGCAGATGTCTGCGCGGGCACCTGCACTTCTGCATTCAGTCCATCCGAGTGGCTATCGAAGTACTCACTGCCTTCTGTGGACCTGGGTTCCTGTACACAACACAAATTACCAGCCAGTCACCATCACGGGCTGTGGTACCCACGGCAACTTCCCTCTGTGGAGCATCAGTGTAACGAGGGATACATCCAACAGTGATGTTATGAAGAGCCTTTTGTAACCACAACTCAACTTGGATCATCACATCTCCAAAAGAGAAAGAATTTTAGAAAAAGTATAACCTAACCTCACATACACCAGTGGATCAAATATGAAGAAGTAAATAAGAAGTCGCTGGGCTGTCCAAACACAGCCCGAGTTTAAAACCAGATCGATTAGCTATATTATATTTAAACCACTAGTGTGTTTTAAATAACATAGTTAGAATGCTAGCTATGAATCGGTTTTCTTCTAGGAAAGAATTTGTGATCTTATCATCCATTTTTCTCTTAAATCATATGAAATCACTGACTTAGAAAATAGCCATTTGAGGGTGAGAAAGCTGGGACTTGACACTCTTAGATTGAGCCCTACAGACCTTCCTTCCTCTGTCTCAGATGAGGTCTTCTGGCCATCTGCTCAGGCTTAGACTTCTACACATAATGATCCCCATTGTCCTAATAGCCCACTTCATACAATAAAACCCAAGCGCCAAGGATTTACAACTCACTAGTGCTGCTGTCTATGAACTGTAGGCTTTTTTTAAAAATATTTTTATCTTTTTATTTAATTTTGGAATTCATCTTACCAAAAAAAGCAACCTTGTTTGTTCATATCCTTTTATTTGAGTACCTGTCTTAGTCTAGACACCAAGGGACAACTAAGAAGTGATTTGTGACTTCAATATTGATTACAATACAAAGTCAAACACAAGCCACTCTGAAGAAGCTCTACTGCTACCTCATAACTGCTGCTTCCTGCTAAACCTAGGGGCACAGAGCATGCAGCCCTCAAGGTTACAGAGCCAGGTTCCAGACACAAGACAATCTGCCCTAACGCTTTCCATGGAGAGCAGCTGACAGGTGGAACAGTCACTGCTGCCAACGGTGGCTTCCACTTGTAACCCAGCATTTTGGGAGGCTGAGGCAGGAGGAATGGCATGAATTCAGGCTAACTCATCCTAGTGAGTTCTGGGACAGCCTGGGCTACAGAGCAAGATCCTACCTCAAAACTAAGTAAGTTACTTTATTAACTAAGAGCAGTAAATTCACTATCAGTGCGAAAAGCACTAGCATCCCAGATACCAAGCTTGGATTCAAATAGCTACAAGAGAAAGGTTAAGAACAGTCAACAGCAACCGGGCAGTGGTGGCGCACGTCTTAAATCCCAGCACTTGGGAGGCAGAGGCAGGCGGATTTCTGAGTTCGAGGCCAGCCTGGTCTACAGAGTGAGTTCCAGGACAGCCAGGACTACACAGAGAAACTCTGTCTCGAAAAACAAAACAAAACAAAGCAAACAAACAAAAAAGAACAGTCAACTGCACTCAGCTGTTGGTGGGATTCTGGGATTTCCTTATCGTCAAAATTAAAGTGAGGAAAAACTGGGTGAGGAGGCATTGAGGTAGGGCTCTATCTTGAACACTCCATCTTGTAGAGATGTTTTCCTTTGGAAATTTTATTTAAAAAAAAAAATCAGATCACAGTTACTGTTGGTCTTTTATAGGAAAATCATCACCAGGCAACTAAAGAGTGTTTTCCAAGGCCCAGGTGCTCAAAACAGAACCCAGAACAGAAACCGCTCTTAATAATGATGATAGCATCTTCCAGGGGTGTGTTTACACTGTGTTCTGCGGTCATTCTTATTTATACACTGACACCTCTGCTTCAAAGAGTGAATCAAACAGCTGCTATGAGTCACTCGGGAAAGCTCAGAATACTTCTCTTAACTGTCACTTTGGTGAAACTTGTCATAAACCCCAGGACACGAAGGAATGCTACTCGCTTAGCTGCATTAACGCTACTGCAGCTATGACTGTGGACCTCTCACTCACTGGCCCCAAACACTGAAAGAATCTGTTTCCTTGCAAGAACCTTAACGGAGTTTCAAAACGAGCAAATCTCTGGCAGAGAGACAGGCTCAAGTTACATGTGACCAATAAACACGGTTGTCGATTCTGCTGAAAGAGACACTATGTGTGACAAGGTTTTTAAACGTCTAGCCATAGCAGAGCATGACTGTTCCCCTTGAAAGATGAACAGATAGCACATGTGGGTATTTTCCACTAATTCGTACACATAAGCATGGATTCCCCAGGACTCTCAGTCGATACTAAAACTTTCCATCTAGAATCTTAATTGTCAGTGATAGAATCTCAGCCTAAGAAGAAAATTTTTTGAAAACTAAAATGTCTTCAAATTATGTCTGTACACAATTCCTAATAACTGCTATATGGGTGTGAGAACTGAAGAACTGATCTTGTCTGTGGACAGAGCCTGTGATTCCCATTCTTACTCAATCACCACCATAGGCAGCAGCTGCTGAATCTTGATGACCAGGACACTAACAACCGAAGTAGGAAAAAGGATGAGAGTTACATCACTATGCAGAGAAGCTGAGTGACCCATCACACTTACTTGAGAAACCAGAGAGGCCAAGGGTAAGAAAGAGGCTGCATAGCAGCTAGGGAAATGAGAGAGGGACATGAAAGGGTGCGAAGCTTAGGTTATAGCAGCCAAGCAGGCTCTAAAGAGCTGCTCAGAGCTCCTTGACTGCCGCTGATGTTCCTTTGTAATATAAAATATGCTAAGGCAGTAGGTTGTGAACAGTCTCGCAATAAAATACAGCCAACCCAATCACTACGCTTAGTGGTGATTGTGTTAAGTAGGTTGTGTATGGTGACCATTCTCGCTGTAATTGTATGTCAAGGCATCAGGTTATACACATTAGCCATATTCGTTTTCTGCTTCTCAGTTGTAACCCAGTAAAGCTGAATAAAGAAAAAACGATGCCCAATTCCTTAAAGGAATCCCCATCTCCTCACGTGTGAGGAAAATTGCTTGCTTCACACTCCACTCCTCTTACCCTGAAAAGATGACTGGTTTCTGAGACAGTGTCACTTTAGAATAGAAGTGAGTGTTTATAATCAAAGCAGCCTAGAAACGGAGTTTTTGTGTTCTAAGTACTCTGTGACAAACCACAGCAGTCCTCAGTGATATCACGAAACATTTCTGGCACATGGTGGGATCACTCGGCCACTCCTCCTTGAATAAGTCAGGCCTGGACTTATCCTTTGCTGTGCTTGGTGAATGTAAGCAAAAGTTAAACATGTCAGTTCTGTGAGAAAGTTTTCAAAGCCAACACCCAATTTTCTTCTCTGTCTACTGCAGGAGCTTATACTGTTCTTCACAACAGCTATTCTGTCGGCTGAGGGTCCCACAGAATACCACAGACCCCAGCTACCTGTTGACTACGATGAACACGAATCATAAATAGGAGAATAAACTTTGGTCATCCTAAGTCACGGAGATGGGGGCAGGGGACATTGTTAACTCAGCCAAACCTATCCTATCCTGACTCAAAAGATTACAAAGCTTAGACAAGTCAGGGTGAGGGTCTTTGTCAGCTGAAATTAATATGTGGTATTTACTGAGCACTCTAGGGCGTGCTTCTCTGTCTCCCAGTATGGTATCCTTTTTCATCTGTCTGGTTTTTAGGCTTACACGTATGAGGGTAGACTTAAAAGTACTGTACTGCAGGGGCTGTTCTTTTTATGCTGTCTTTTAAAGTCAAAACAAATGCCTATCAGTCAAGCAAAGCTTTCTGAGTCATCCCTCTGCTGTCTGGTGGCATACAGGAGTTTATGTGGGTGAGAGACAGTAGCTACTGCCTCAGTGCCTTATTAGAGCGTATTATCAGACTCCTCCTAAGCAGGGATTGGCTTTTTTGTCTGTGTGTGATATTATGGATTGAGCCTTGGGCTTCAGGCATGCGGGCCTATGCACTGTTCTACTGAACTATGTCCACAAACATTTATTTATTTATTTATTTATTTATTTATTTATTTATTTATTTTTACTTTGAGAAAGGGTCCCACTAAGTTACCCAGGCTAGCTTTGACCTCACTCTGCAGTCCAGGAAGGTCTCAATTTTCCTGCCTCAGCTTCCCTCATAGTTGGGATGACAGTCCTGAACCATCATACAGGGCTGGGTTGCATTTATATGGTCCTTATCCTAATCTTTTCAATGAAGGGAAAAGAAATGGCCACTAGGACTGAAATATTTACTGCCCCTAAAAAGTCAATCTTGTTCATATCTATAGATAATCAATTATTGGGGTATCCACAGATAAAACTATCAAAAGGCTGTCCTAATGAGTTACTTTAAAAATAAAAGTCTAAACTTTTTATCATACTATTTGTCAATAATTAATAGCAGTCAATAATGTCTTGGCTTTAGTCTGAGGTTTTACGGATGCAGCCCCCAGCCTGCTTCTCCACTAACGGACCCTGTGTCTCCAGGTAGACCTCAACTTCTTGATTCTGTAGCTTTCTTGTCTCTAAAAATTTGGGGGAGTCCTTTCTAGCATTAAAATTCTTTTTCTTAAAATCCTGGGTGTTTGAGTCAGGCAGTGGTGGCACTCGCCTTTAATCCCAGCACTTGGGAGGCAGAGGCAGGTGGATTTCTGAGTTCGAGGCCAGCCTGGTCTACAGAGTGAGTTCCAGGACAGCCAGGGCTATACAGAGAAACCCTGTCTCAAAAACCAAAAATACATAAAAATTAAAATAAAATTCTGGTTGTTTTGCTCATAATTGCACATAGTATACAGTATATCAGAGGCAAGTTTGTCCATGACACAGAACTAAAGGAGGCTCAGTCTCCCTGTGAAGGTTGGACACCCAGTGCCGGATCCACACACCAGGGTAACAGTTCTGCTTTGGACTCGTGAAATAGAACTTGAATATGTTTAGTGAACAGGATCATTGTATGTTGAGTCAGGCCACAAACACAGATGAAGAAATAGGCTCCAGACAAACAGAAAGCGGTACTCTATGACAGCGTGCTTGAGGAGGCATGGTGGTCAGCAGCTGGACATAACCAGCTCTGTAATGCTGGGAGCCAAAGGGGCAGCAGGTGCTGAACAGCCTATTATATAGTTAAGCACTGTGAGAGGCTGAGAAACAGAGCCAGGAGGGAAAAGCCCAAAGCAACTTCATGCTTGGTGGTGATTTGGCTTAAGGGGCTGTAACCCAAGAGCAAGCAAATTACTACCCTGAGGGATTTGAAGAAAGGTCCCGGAGACAGAACAGTGGCCACCTGTTATCCATCTCCCCTGGGAGAGAGGGTGGTGCCCAAAGACACACAAGAAGGAAGTAACCAATGGCCAACTTTATAAACAGGAAATGATCTATCTGGGCAGGTTATACTGTCATCTGCTCTTAATGCCTCACGATTTTTTTTATATTCACATAAATATGTATATTGCAAGGTTAAGACAACATTCCCTTATATAAAGACACTGTCTAATCAGATTCCCTTCAACTCTGGTCTCAGAGCAAATAAAACCAAAACACCAAATGGCCTGGGATGTGGTTCAGTGGTAAGAGCCCTTGTTCAGCATGTGTAAGGCAGTGAGTTCCATCCTCAGCAACACACACACAGGCACACGCACATGCACACGCACATTCTCTGTGGCTTATAATTTTTAGGAGATTTTTTTTTTAATGAACCGACTTAAATATAAAGTCATACGACTTTGGGAAGGCCTCCTTATCTGAAATCAATGACTGGCTCCCTTCCATCTGTCTTTGGACTTGATGACTGGGGTCTAGCAACGGCCTCTGATTGCCAGTTCCCTCAGACCTTCAGCCAGCTCTAGGCTTCCAAGAACAGTTGGACCAGCTTCAGACCCAGGCCTGGGGGTGAGCCAAGGCAATTTTAGTGTGGAATCTGGGTGCTATGGGCTCAAGGTGCTGCTGTCGTCTCACCTCAGAGCCTATGCTGAAACGTTGACCCACTTGAAGACAGTGATGGGGTCTTTGAGGGGGCTGGGTTTAGATGAGGGCCAGAGGCTGGAGTCCTCAAGGTCCTGCTGTCCTTATAAGAAGAAGAGACAAGGGCTCTCACTCCCTGCTGTATAAGGACAGAACCTTCAGCAGCCAGAACAGGCCCTTCCCAGAGTCTCACCACAGGGGCCCATGACTTTCCAACCTGCAGAACTATGAAATATCAGTCTCTCCTTCAGCTACCCCATCAGTAATAATACTCTGTTCCACCCTTACCCCTACCCCTAACCTCAATCCCAAATGCGGAGTCACTAAAGTTGAGGGAAGAGTCGGAGTGGGCGTCTAAAGCAAATAAAGAAAAATCCCACCAGAAAATAAGCTGTGCTGGGTCTTCTGTTCTAAGTCTTCCTTCTCCGGCTCACCTGAGGATCTGGATAGCTTCAGACATGGATGGAAAAACTCTAGGACCCATACCCCCCACCCCCACCCCACACCTAAGCCAGGGTGTTCTTACCTGCAGTTTCCTCTTCTTCCTGGAGAGGCTTCCTGTCCAGTCACTGAAGCGCCGCATTCTGGCTTTGAGGGTGTCTTTCTTAGCTGCATCTTCAGTTAAGGCTTTGGACTTGCGGCACGGGAGAGTGAAGGAACTGTAGTGCGCGTGATCCCTTTGATCCACCCTGGAGGGCACATCCATGTCCGACGCAAACGAGACTCGGTTGTTCAGGCTGACTTGGGAGCCAATGTACTCATTGGAAGAAAGGCAGGTGCCAGAAGGTGAGCGGCACCCCAGGGTGGCATCTTTGTACAATTCCCGGAGGGAGGAGAGGGAAGAGCTTTGGTTGAAAGGCTTTTTGGTGTCACTGGATGGGAAGCTGCTGGGGAGGCTGGGGTCTGGGGTGCTGGGAGCCAGGAAGGAGCCGTCTACCTCACTCACCTCCCCAGCGTTGCCCCAGGGGGAGTCATACCAGGATGACTCCGAGCTCAGAGAGCTACCTTTGCTGGACCGCAGGCGAGAGTCAGTGTGAGAAGGCCCCTGGCTGGCTGGGGAGCCGGCACCCGAATGCCGCCTAGTTTCTGGCACTTGGCAGGTTTCTGAAGCTAATGTAGGGGAGTATCTCAGCAGCTGTACAGGTCCACTGGGGTCCTCAGAGGGCCCTTTGTGGGGGTTGCCACCGTTGTGGAACTCAACTCTTAAACACCCGTCTAGCTTCCCCAGTGTCTTGATGAGCACCCTGGGGCTCCTACGGTCCTCGCCTGGAGGGGTGGAGGCAATGCTGTCGTTTCTCCCGTAACAGGTGAGAAGGTGGCCATTGCAGTCCCTGGAGGTGATGTGGCTCTCCCCTGATTCTCGGCCAACATAGTGGAAGCCATTCTCGGGTAAGATAGCACCATTGTTGCCTTGGAAATCATTTCCTAGGGCATTCGCTCTGTGCTTGATGTAGGCAGTGCCCTTTGAGACTTTACAGGTGGGTCCACCGAGTCTGGTGGCGTAAGGCTGGTGATTCTTAAAGTGGGAAAGGCAGCTTCGGGCTAGGGATCTGGACTTGTAGCCTGCTCCACTGCTCCCGTGAGTCCAACTATGCAAGGACTTTTCGTCTTTTGCATGAATGCTGCGTATTTTAAGAGAGCAAGGCTTTTGCTTAGCACCAGTGACAGTATTGCTATGATTCTTGGATCCTTGGAAGGTGTATTGACTCTCAGAGTTCCCCATTTTAACCTAAATGGAGAACAGTTGTATCAGTATGAGCCATGATCCAAATTACAGTGCAGTAAAACAGGATTTTCCAAATAATAACAATAGTAGTAGTAAAATAATGTCTGTCATCATCTTAAACAGGTAGAATGGAGAGTGTGGGACACTTCTTTCGATGCCTGACAAGATTCAGAGGAGTAGAAATAAGAGTCATGTACTGAACTGTGCAAGGCAATGCTGGCCACACAGACAACATTGCATGCTTGAGTGCTAGGAGTCATTATCAATGGCAAACTGTTAAAACTGAAGAGGCAAACAAGTATCAGCTAAAGGTAGAGAACTCCCTCAGACTCAATGTTGGATAAAGATCCTTGAAGAAAAATGAAGGAAAGTCTAGACACATGGATATGCCACCAGAGATGCATCAAAGAAATTACATTTTTATCACATAGGAATTAAAATGGAAGGAGATAATTCACATAATATTGGGGAATGGGCCTCAGGACCCCTCAGATTCCCAAACCCTGAATACTCAAGTCTTTGAGTGCAATCTTTCCTCATCACTAATATGTCTTATCTTCATGTGTCTTTTCCACCTTAGATTACACTTGACAATGGAAATGCTATGAAGATTGATGTCGCTCTGTATTTTTCTACTGAATCACTTCTGAATAATTGTTTGTACATGTTCAGTAATGTTATTTTAAAAAATACATCACTTGACAGCTAGGTGAACCTACATGTGCAGAACCTTTGGTCCCAGAGGACTTATCAAGGTCCCTGCTCCCACATGACCACAGCCCCAGTAATGGAACCTAGGTGCCATACTTCATGGGAGTTTTCAAGTACAAGCTAACGAAAAGACTAGAAGATTCCAAGAGTATGGGGTCAGATTAAAAAAAGGCTTGGGGAGGAAATAAGAACTTTTATTTGGGAGAGAAAAACACTTTTATAAACATAATCTCCGGGCCTTGTTTAAGACTTGTAAATTCACTTTAAAATGCAGTGAGAGAAAAATGTGTAAATTCATACCCGTTAGAGTGTGGGCTACAGAACAAGGTACTGGTCTCTTCAAATTTCCTTTAAAGTTCCAGTTAGCTCACAGAGTTGATTAGGTAAGCAAAACGCAAAGTAAAATTTGCTCCAACCCTCCCAACATCCTTTTAATGTTGATCAGCACAGAACTGTTACGAGCCAGCAGCATTTGTACTTCCTGTCAGGTTGCAAGCATATTTAGCAGGTTTTTAAATTCTTCATTCTTGCACATGGAAGCACGTATTAACAAAGGGGAAATCAAATGGATGGCTATCTGGTTGGTGGCAGTTATCAGACCCTTTAAAAACCCAGTCACTGGAACAAATGAACCCCTTTTTTATTATTCCATGGGTCATGTACTTTATGAGAGACCCATGTATCTGAGCTGTCCTTACCTGCAGCCTGGCTTTTGCTGGGACGGAGGTTAATGCTCAGTGGGTTTCATATGGTCTTGGGAACAATGCCGGTATTTAACAAACATAGGCCAGTCCATGAAGTGATCCTGAAAAAAAAAAAAGAGGTGAAAATTCCATCAAGCATTTTACACTCAACTTCCAACAAGGAAAAGCAAAGAAACGGCGTTGGAATGTGGCCTGGTTGGTTGACTGCACATCTCCTACAAAACCCTGGGTGTGGTCCTCAGCACGGTTTAAAAACAGGCACTTCGGTACATGGCTATAATGCTAGCACTCAGGAAGTAAAGGCAGGAGGATTGGAAGCTGAAGGTCACCATTGGCTACACAGTAAGTTTGGGGTAAGTTTGGGGTCATGGGCTACACATATGGGCTACATCAGACCCCATCTCTAAAATTTAAATAACCTGATGATTTAATATAGGTTATCCAGAAATAAAGTATTGGTGTTCAAAAAATCACCTGTCAATGTCTCAGGCACCTGCAGCCAGGCCTAACGGCCTGAGACAGATTCCTGGATGCCACGATATAGCGAGAGCTGACCCCTGCAAGCTGTTCACTGACCTCTTCCTGCACAACATGGCCTGCAAGCTCCCACCTCATAAATAAAATAACAAAAACAACGTAATAATCTAAAGCAAACACTGTCGAGAGAGTAAAGGAGAGGTCTGTGAATTTCTTGGTTGATCAAGACTGTTGGGAGATCTAAAAGAAGCCAGACTCGGACACTGGGAGTCAGTCTGCAGCTGACGTGACGTCAGCCTTTGTCTCAGCAGCAGCAGGTGAGGATGTTCAGATGAGTCAGACTCATTCATCTGTCACCGCTCCCAGGAAAACAACCCCCAGGCTCTGCTGACAAGACACAAGGTAGGGATGTGCCCCCCACCCCCCTCTGCCTCCTCACGGGACAAGAGTAACTCTTTGTTCTCTATTTGGCCTAGCAATAAAAACAAAAGGCCAAAGTAAAATCACAGCCAGAGTCCTTGGCTAAAGTTACAGAGGCTGACCTCATCCACCGGTTTGAAAGCACGTGTTGGTGGAGGTCAGAGGTCAACCTCAGGAGGACAAGGTGGCCTTCTAAGGGGAGGAGTAGGGGCTGGGATGGGGAATGCCACCTGGTGACATTCTGCCTGACACAAAGCCTTTGTTTTCTAACAGACCTAAACGACAAAGTGAAGAAGAGTCCAGAGTGACCTTTGCAGTTCCGTTTCTGGAATCTACTTTGTAATTATAGAGAAGCATGCCTAACAAGATTGACCACCTTCTCCATTTCCGGCTCAGCAACATTAAGTATACTGTTTTTGTCACTACCCATGTCTACAATCCTTTTCTCCCTGCAGAACTGGAACTCTGTAGCCCACTGATCAGTGTGCCTTCACTTCCTAAGCCACAGGCTATCAGGACTCTACCTTTTGTCACCATGAATGTGATACCTCCATGCATACCATAAAAAGAATCATAAAATGTGGATCCATCTGTGGCCTGCTTAGTCGTCTACATAACATAATGTCTTCAAAGTTCCATCGTGAGAACACCTGTCAGAATCTCTTTCCTTGTTCAGGCTTCATGACATTCCAGTGTGTATGTGTGTGTGTGTGTGTTCTATCCACTTCCTGATAGACATCTGAATTACTTCTACCTCTTTGCTAACAGGAATATTGATGCTATGAATATAGGTAGGCAGTTATTGCCTTCTCTCAATCTGCCTCGTATGTACCCAGAAGTGAACCTAGCTGCTTTTCATAGACACGTCATTTCCCATCGCCATCAACTCTACATCCCAGCCCTCTGCTGCCCCCTTCCCCACTGGAAGACTCCTGAAACTGAGACTCTCTTCATGTGCTGACTGGCCCTTGTACATCCTCTCAGGAGGGTTCCATCATGACTTACAAAGTCAAAGACAGGGAAGTGACTGGTACTGGACCCAGGTTCCTCTAACTATAATCTAAGCCACGTCTCCTGCTTGGTTCTATCCATGCAAACACATTTTACATTGGCGGTGGGCTGAGGGAAAAGGCAAGGGCACAAGCAGTAAACCTAACAGCTCCTTTGGACTTCTTAAAACTAAGGCTAACATCTAATTAATGAGGCTGAAATGCAGCCTGCTACACAACTCCGGCCTGCCTTACCATGAGCCACTCCCCTATGTATACCACGAGGACACAGTAATAAGAAGACAGGACACATCTGACACAGGAGCACAAGCACAGAGCCTCATCTCTGTGAAGTTTACACCCTGAGCTGTTGCTCTGTTCCCTGGAGCACTTGGTGTGTTTAAACCTAGGGAGGTAAAAAGGGACACAGAAGCTCCCAGCTGTTGCCTCTTGGACCTTCCCAGTCGGCAAAGGGAATGAGATTCTGCATTCAATATTTTGGTCATTCCAGTGGTGACCCAAAGGAGAAGGGCCGCTGGGCCTCACTCTGATTCCAGCACCACACAGGGTACTCCAGACAGACAGAGAGAGAGAGAGAGAGAGAGAGAGAGAGAGAGAGAGAGAGAGAGAGAGAGAGAGAATGTGAGGCCAACTGTTAGATTCCTGGATACATAGAGGTTAGGGCTCAGAACTGCCAGAGAGAGCTATAAAATAGAAATCCATGCCCCAGCAGCAGGCGAAGACAGGAAGGTATCTCACTGAGCAGGACAAAAGAACAGGGGGTGGTATAGTTCAGTCGCTATTTATTCAATGTGCAGGGTCTCTAGAACCCCACAGACCAGGTATGGCAGTGCACAACTGCAATCCCAGCACTCAGGAGGTAGAGGTGGGGGATATCACAAGCTCAAGGCCATTCCAGGTTTGGGGCCAGCATAGGCTACATGAGACCCTGTCTCAAAAGCTCAGGAATGTTCAAAATTTGCCATGAAGATTTCCTATAAAGACATCAATTGAGATATCTCCAATAAAAATGTTAAAATAACAATGAACCTTAGGAAGTGCCAGTTTAAACTTTGAATTTAAACTTTTTATCAGTATGGGACTCTCTTAAGTGAGGTAGGACAGATGGTTACAACCAGCACAAAGCCCTAACTTTCTTGGGTCTTCCGGCCACTAAGAATTCCCTTTTTTTTTTAAAGCAATGATGTTTGTCTTATCCGCTTGTAATCTTGCCCGAAGCACATTCGAAACCATGTTTTAATCTTATTTTCCAAGAAATGAGGTTCATGGGGCTGAAAAGACAAGCCAATGGTTAAGGAAGCCTTTCCAGAGCCTGGAGTGAGTTCTGTTCCCGGCACCCATTCCGGACAGCTCATAACTGCTGTAACTCCAGCTTCAGCAGACCCAACACCTCTAGCCTCTGCAGGCACCTGTACACACGTGCACATAGCCATGGGCACACATACACATAATAAGAATTAATAAAAATAAATTCTTTTTAAAAAAGATGTAAGATCTCTTTGAATGATATTCTCTCGAGAAGTCTACATACATTCACAGCTAAGTGTGTACTTTTCCCCCCAAAATAGCTCTCAAATGTTTAGCACAAACACTTAAATCTATAGTAAGGCTTTTTCTTTTTTAAGAAAATATTTATTTTGTACTGTGTATGTGTGAGTAGGGTGTGCATGCCACGTACACACAAGCGGTGGGGTGCTAAGATCAAACACAGGGCTGTCAGCAAGAGAGACAAGCACTCTACCAGCTTAGCACCGTGTGCAGCCCCTTAACTATTTTTATTATTGTAATCATTTGAGAAATATACCAGAAGATCCTATCGTTCACGATAAGTTTGCCTAAAAGCCTGAACTGTGGGCTCACAAGAAGCATCTGGAAACATCTATGGGACCGGTGAAGGCAACTCCTAGCTTAGAAGACTGATTCTGACACAGACCAAAAGCAAGGTTCCTCCCTACCGGCTATGTTCAAAAGACAGACTCACTGGGGATAGGTCTTCTGCACATAGGCAGGAGAGCTCAGAAAGGAGGAGTAAAGGAAGCCGACAGCAGTACAGATGCTAACAGAGGCAAATCTGAACAGCTGTTCAGTGCACCTGGCCAACGCCAGTTGTTCAACACACCTGGTCAGCTCCACCCACTGGAGAAAGAAACAGCCTTAAAAAACAGCAGCAGCAAGAGCATATTCAACATCTATGAGACAGTGGAGACCCCGAGAGACACTATGTAACTATTGTCCCAATGACTTTGACAAAGACATTTACTTATCACACCTCAGCTATGGTGGCTTTTTGTTTTTTGTTTTTGTTTGTTTGTTTGTTTGGTCCAAAATGAAGAGAATAAATAAGTCAAAGTTTTAGCAACCTCTGCCCATCCCCCAAAACTCCATTACAAAGTCAAGTTTTACAGTATTCCAGTTTTTAAACTCTTTTGGTAGAAAAGAGACTAAAACCAAAATAATAAAACAATTTTTTTAAAAAAGGTCCTATAAACTTAAATATATATACATATATATATATATATATATATTTAAAAATATAAATTATATATACATATATATGTGTGTGTATATATAGGTATATGTGTATATATATATACATATATATATACACATATATACACACATATATATGTAGAGGCCTAGTACTTGAAAATAGCAGAGATATCTATTAGATTATATTAAATCACAAAAGTACACATGAAGGTATAAGCAGCAATAATACTCATGAGGTCCCAGAGACATAGTGAGGCCTACAGTTCATAGGGACATAACGTAGGTGAAGGTTCTGTGACATTCAAAGACCATTAAGATAGTTTATATAGCAAAGGCTAGATGCCACGCACAAAGGTTCACGTAACTATCTTCATCTATTAGATCACAATAATATTCAGATTTTTTAAATTAGTCACAATCCCATGAAGGTTCAAAAGAAATCCTCCTCTTTCATCTTGTTCCCCAGTCATAAGAATGTATCCGGCAGTGTTTGAAGATAACATCACAAACAAGAATGGAAGGGGCTCTCTGGTTTCCAAATGATGATGAATTACCATATGAAAATGTGAACAAGGGGCTGGAGAGATGGCTCAGTGGTTAAGAGCACTGACTGCTCTTCCAGAGGTCCTGAG